GTTCCTTCACTCAAATTCAATCTATTATATGTTAAGAAACTTGTTTCTGATCTCATCTGTTCAATTACATTTTTTGCCACCTACTGTGGTTTTCAAGACCAGTTAACGAGGAAGACGATTGGAGCGGGTAGAGAACAGGGTGGACTTTATCTGTTTCAATCTTCTAACAATGTGATTGCTTCCTCCACTCAACACCCACAATCCATGAATCTATGGCACTAGCATCTCAACCGTCCAATTCTAGGTTACAATCTCTTATGAAGAAACATTTTGATATTTTTTATTCTGTTGATTGCCATTGTCATGTATGCCCTAAGGCCAAACAATCTAGACTATCTTTTCCATTTAGTTCACGTTCTACCACTGCACCTTTTCAAATTATTCATTGCGATAGATGGGGAGGTTATGCTACCCGATCCCTTTCTGGCGCACGCTATATCTTAACCTTAGTTGACGATTTTAGTCGTAGTACTTGGATATTTTTAATGCGACATAAATCTGAAACTAATCACCACTGAAATTTGTTTTTTGCCTTGGTTAAAACACAATTTTATTGTTCAATTAAATCCCTTTGCACCGACAATGGAACTGAATTTTTCTCCAATGATATGCAACATTTTTTGCAAACTCAAGGTGCTTCCATCAACATTCATGTACATCAATACCAAAACAAAATGGTGTTGACATCACCACTTCCTTGAGGTTGCACAGGCTTTGTGTTTCCAAGGCAATTTACCCCTTCTATTTTGGGGAGATTGCATCTTAACTGCTGCTAACTTAATCAACACGATACCAACACCTATTCTAAATGGCAAAAGCCCTCATGAAGTTCTTTTCAATTCACCACCCAAATATAAATATTTAAAGGTTTTTGGTTGTCTTTGTTACACCCACAATGTACACCATCAACACAAGTTTGATACTCGTGCTCGAAGATGCATATTTGTTAGCTATCCCCATGGCCAAAAGCCTATCGTTTATATGACCTCGCCAAAATTTTTACCAGACGAGATGTTGTATGTCATGAACATATTTTCCCATTTCATAATGATTTGCCACCAAATCCCTCTAAAAATGTTATACCTCTATCATTACCAGATCTACCTAAACCATACACCACAGAAAACTCTACTCCTTCAACCTCCATTCCACCCAACCGCTCTACACAGGCCGTCACCCTTGAACACCTAACCACAAGAGCCGCTGACCCCCATGCATCCATTGCGCCACCTGCTGTCTACGCACCAACGCCTCCACCTCATCACTTTGATCGAACCTGTAAAAAGCGAACGTATTTGGAGGATTATCATTGCTCCATTGTTGTGCACTCTACCCTTGCTGCAACGTCCTCTCGGCAAACAAGTCCAAATTCCTCATCATTCATTGAGTGTTGTCCTTTCTTATGACAAACTTTCACAACCATGTTGCATTTTTGCTGCTACCATTTCTTGTTCTATTGAGCCTACATCCTTTAAACAAGCATCAATTGATCCACATTGGAGGGCAGCTATGAGCAACAAAATTTCAGCACTTGAAGCAAATAACAAATGGTCTCTTGTGAAACTACTTGTTGGGAAAACACCCATTTGTTTCAAATGGGTATACAAAATACATAGTAAAACGGAGGGGGCTATTGAACGTGACAATGCTGGTTTAGTTGCCAAATGTTACAAACAGCGAGAAGGCCTTGATTATCACGAGACATTTGCTGCAGTAGACAGACTGGCCACTGTTTGATGTATTCTTGCATTGACAGCTATCAAAGCTTGGTCCCTTCACCAACTTGATGTGTAAAATGCCTTTTTGGATGGTGATTTGAAGAAAGAGGTATACATGAAGATTTCACCTGGTTTTTCACGTTAAGGGGAAGCACAAAGTTTGTCGCTTGAAAAAGTCCCTTTATGGACTTAAACAGTCCTCACGACAGTGGTTTGCCAAGTTTCCAGATACCTTATTGGGCACTGGTTGTACTCAATCCAAAGCTGACTATTCCCACTTTATCAGTCACAATGGCCCATCTTCCATGTATTACATTGTGTACATTGATGTTATTGTGATTATTGGGAACAATCCAACAACTATTGATTCTCTCAAAGAGTTTCTCAAAAAGGATTTTCACATTAAAGATTTGGGTCCTCTACGATATTTTTTAGGCATTGAGGTTCTCAGATCAACAAAGGGTATTTTACTTACCCAACAGAAGTATACCCTTGATATACTTGAAGATATGTGTCTCCTCACTGGTTGCCTCGTGGCATTTCCAATGGAACAAAACCTCAAACTAAATTCTACAGATGGTCGTTGCATAGAAGACCCCACTTTTTATCGTTGGTTGGTTGGACATCTCATACCTCATCATCACTCGGCCTGATATTATTTAATCCATTTTCTTAACCAGTTCATGAGACAACCACAGAAACAACATTTTGATGCAATCTGTGTACTATGTTACTTAAAAGGCACTCCAGGTCAGGGTATTCTTCTTTCTGCATTCAATACATTACAACTCGCTGCTTACTACGACTCCAATTGGGCAAGTTGTCCCATGACTCGTCGCTGGACTACTGGGTGTTGAACAATGTTGGGAGACAATCCAATCTCCTGAAAAAGAAAGAAGCAACACACTCTCTTGATCTTCTACTGAAGCTAAATATCGTTCCATGGCAGTCGCTTCTTGTGAATTAACATGGCAAAAATATCTTCTTTTGGATCTCAGTATTCACCACAAAGATCCTATGAGACTCTACTGTGATAACAAAGTTGCCATTCACATTGCTGCCAATCCCGTTTATCATGAGCAAACAAAGCACATCGAATTCGACTATCTTCTAGGCCTGGAAAAGATTCAACGGGGACTCATTCGAACAACATATGTTCCAACCAAGCATCAACGTGCCAACATCTTTATGAAAGCGCTAGGGAAAGACCAATTTCATTTTTTAGCATGCAAGTTTGGCATTCTTGATGCTCATGCTCCAACTTGAGGGGAAGTGTTAGCAATTCAAATTCAAATCTTTTGTTATTATTGTATCAATCTCCAATCCCTATAATCAAGGAATTCCATTCTTGTCTTTCAATCCCTACAATCAAGGGATTAAAATTGACTCCCAATCCCTACAATCAAGGGATTCCATTCTTGACTTTCAATCTGTACAATCAAGGGATTACAATTCTTGTATCCCTATATAAATATTTATCATAGAATGAAATCGTACATCTCTTGGAAGTTTTTTCAATCTTCACATCTTGGGAGTTATTCCAATTTCCATGCTTCTTTTGTTTCCTGCAATATATGACAATATTGCAGTTGAAGTTGAAGAGTCTTTTTAAACTTCTTTGTAGTAAATTTTTTCTCATTCCTTTTGGTCATTGCTAAATAGGCTTGATTTCTAACCTTTTCATTCTTCTCCATAGCTCTTATCATTTTTCTCCGCCTTTAAGTGTCCAAAGTCACCTAAAGTGTCAATTGCGCTTTTATGGAGCAATTTTTCTTTAATTCTTTCTAAGAGTTATAAAGGTTTTCTATTATCTTCATTTGTTGATGTTGACTAATGGGTTCATCAAAACTAGCAAGTTAGTTAGCCAAAAGTGTCAATTGCGCTTTTGAATAAAATTCGGAAGGAATAAATTTTGTAGTGGCCTTTTAAAAGAAAACTGAAGCTTTGGTACCACTTGTTGGAACAATGTAGAAATGGCTATAAGGGAATTAGACAAAACAAAAAGTGCAAGAAATTTAGTTCAATTGCCCACTTAGACGTATGATCAAACAGGTATGATGTGGACGGTGCAGCATAAAACAAAATCAAAGAAGCATCCATCTAGCATCTAAGGGCTCCCCCAAAGCTACTCAAGTATGACCCAATTCACACTCCCACCTTTTCATCGCATTCCAGTCATGTAGAATAAGCAAAAGGGGAAAGATGGTATGTGCTAACCATCAAGCTTGGTAATAGAGGCATGGGCACAATAAAATACTGCAATTTGATCAATTCGCACTAAGCTACAATTTGGTCGATCCACACTGCAATACACCTTGTATGCATGTAGGGAGAGAAGGAGATGAGGGAAGAGTGAGAGATAATGGCGGCATGGCTTCACGTTGCTTGTGTCAAGGTGCTCCTTTTGGGGCTTTGGTGCACCCCATGTGACCAATGCACCACTGATTTCTAGTGAGAAGGGACAAGGGTGAGGAGTGTGGAAAACAAGTGCCCAACCTCCAACCCCAGCCCCTTACTTATAGAGCTTCTTTGTTCTAGCAATTGGAATTGGAGGTGTGAGTTTTCTAACACATGTCAAAGGAACCCATGCAAAATATTGCCAAAATAAACAAAATGACTCCTTCAAAATCAATGACTTTGAGGGTTTGTTTTGGTCATTTCGAAAGGGAAAATTCCAATAAGCAAATGATGAAAACTTTTTTTGTATATGTTCCCAAATCCCATGTCCCAACAATTGGCCCCCACAGATGGTGAACACTATTGTGCCTAAAGATTATTTATGTTCAAGGACATGGTGTGTCAATAAAGTTTATGAAACTAGGCATATGTTGGCATGCCCTTGTACTGACACAAACTTGCACCATCTATTTGTTTATCCACCCCCACCTGTGTTTGTTTGACATGTTGTTGTTTGTGTCATTTGTATGGCTTCCCAGCTGAAACCGTGTTGAGCTGATACTTCACTTTTTATTATGGTTTTTCTTGTGAGTTTTAATTATTTTTGCTACAGTTACTGATTGAACATACTAGGTTTTCTTCATTTATCAAATATAGGCATTTGAAATCCAATGGATTTTTGGTTTCTTTGAAATATGATTATTATATTGCTCTTGTTATGGTTCCGGTATTTCCACATAAATTATGCTTGGTATGGCCTAAGTCATGGGAAGTTGGAAGTTGTCCATTTACAGACAACTTGCATGTTCATTGTTGCATTTGTGATCTAATTAAGAGTTGAGACCAACGATTCCTAACCTCTAAATACCATTTTGAAAATTGCAGGAATGGTACTACTGCTTCCATTAAAGCCTTTATTTCCTTTATTGAATGCTAGTTTGATTAAGAAAGAGTATGATACTTGTCCTATATTGGAAGATAAATTGTTTACAACTCTCAGAAGGTCTTTGCGTGGAAAGAGAGGAATCCACAAGCAAATCCGTCGGCCTCATTGCTGGCCTCTTTGTTCAAAAGCATTAGAATTTCAAGGTAATTCTCATCTCATGACATCTACTTGTAGCGCAGATATTTTTTTAGGTTAGTAGGGTTTGAATTTCGAACCCACAAACATGTTGCAACATTGACCCACGAATTTGAATGTATATAAGAGTAGATCTGATTGTAAGCATATCTTCTAAATCGTGTAATGAAGCTTTCTCCTTTGTTTTTGTTTCTCACGGGAAGGCATCAGTTACATATCTAACTTAATTCATGTATGACAAATTCTTTTATTCTCCATCAGCAAGCACTTCAAAAGGCTCTTAAGTTATATTTGCTTCTCTTGTTGGAGGTTTTTTGCTTTATTTTCCAATTCCCACGACTTCACTGGAAGTGACTGTATAACTGTATTCATGGGTAGTGGACACTGAGCTGGCTTGATGTCATGGTAATGTGGTTGTTCTGCTTTCCTGCATGAGTATGTGTTCTCTCCTTCATGACCTGGCTATTACATCTGCTAGTCTGTATTTTGATAATAATGGTGCCATCCATGTTACTTATAATCCTCTCCTTGACAAGAGTTAGGTAGATAGGTAGTTATTATGTGAAAGGTATTGTTTGTTCCCTGTCCCTGCATATCATCTGAGCAGTGTATCACCTACTTCTTTTTAAGGCAATGGCATGGATCTTTACTTTTTTATTCAGATTAATTTTTCTCTGATTGATCCATATGTTCAACTTTTTAAGTGAGAATTGCATGTTAGCCGGTTTTAATGAATGTAGAAATACAATTTTGCATGCACATAACAGAATCCCTCTAGCCATTACTCATTTGTTTATCTAAGTCAACCGGTGTTCGCAAAATCATACTGGAATGGTTAACCGAACATGGGCCCGAAAGCAGTTTAACCAGCCTAATTGGTAAACTGGCCAATTCAACCGCTCTAACTGGGCAAGCTCTGGGCGATCAAACAAGTGTTG